ACCCGCTTGGGGCCGGGGTCTGCGGGGAGCGGCGGGCGGGGGCAAGCGGGCGCTTCTGCGGTTGCTATGGTTACGGGGCGGCGGCCCGGGCTCCTGGGGGTCCCGGCTGGCGGGCAGCTCTAGGGGCCTTCCAGGAGGGAACGTGAACTCCGGCGGGAGCGGTGGACTCGACGGGGCCAAGTCACTGCCCTCCACGGGTCCTCTGAGCACCTACTCCGAGGGCCTTCCCAGAGTGCCCAGAGCTACTTGTAAAGCCCGGGCTGAGCCTGGCCCGGCGGCGGCCTCGCCTGTTGACACGCGTGTGGGGAGGGGCGGCAGCCGCCTTAACCTCTGGGCGAAGGTTGTTTGTAAGTGGGGTGGGTGCAGATCTGGCCAGATTTCCTGAGGGACGGGTGGTGCCAGGGGACAGCTGATCGCCGAGGGAGGGAGCCTCCCCACTGTCTACTTGGAGGAAGGTGCGTTTCCTCTGCTGTCAGTTCCCCCTCCTGCTGTCAACTCTGTCTCAGCCGCCTCTCCTCTCCCTTCTGCCCCCCAACCTGGACACGCATCACGACCTCAAGATTGCTGGGAAGCCAGACTCTTCAGCACAGACCGCAAAAAGAACACAAATAGGAAGTCAGTTCTGCTACAGAAGTAAAATAAAGATCATTTGGCAGGTCTTCCAAAGGCAAACATGTCTGTCTGGGCTGTTATGGTGCTGCTGCCGTCAGCACTGTGAATTACTGGAGTGGGAGAGGGCACAGCCAGAGGTCTTAGAAAGGGAGTGTCCGTCCGGGAATCCTCAGGATTTGAACAGTGCCTGCCTGGCACAGAGGGCCGGGGCCGGGGCCAGGCAGACCCTGAGTAGATATGCTAGAAGGAACACCTCTTTAGGGTCCCTTCCAGGCCCACAGTCCTCCCAGGTGGGTGGTGGCTGGAAGGAAGTTCAGGAGTCAGGGTTAGGAGCGTGCTGCTCTGACAGGGCACGCCCTTATAATAATAGGATAATAGGACAGGGCCTCCCCAAATGAAAGAAAGTTCCCCGAGCCCCTGTCACTGCTGTTCAGAGGAAGCATGTTTTTGACTTTGTAGGAGACTGGTCAGGTCTTAGAGATGATCCTCTCAAGTTTGGGCAGCCATTTCCCCAGCAGATCAGAGTTAGGGTGCTGTGGGAGTGACAGTGATGGGGGCAATGGGGAGAAAAAGGAAAGGTCTTCACTGTGGCCTCGCTCCATCATGTAGACAACGGCCCTGCTGACTCCCGGGTTAATCCTGGCCTCCCATCCAGTTCTGTGCTTCTGCACGTGGGAGGTCTGGGCCGCCACGCCAGGAGTTCATGGTATTGGGGCTACAGATGATGCTTTGGGCAAGACCTGTGGCATCACCCTGAAAAGTCAGTTTCACCTGTAGACATGGGGGGAGGTGATTGTCATATGAATCCCAAATTGTGTATAAATCAAGCTAGAATGCAAAGCATGCAAGCGTTTCGGAGGTGAAGCAGGAGTCCGGAAAGGGTTGGTGCCTCTGACAGCCACTCTGGGGAAGCATCACCTCCCTGTGTGAAGGGGGCCTCGGAGAGGCATTTACTCAGGGTCCTGATCATCTGGGGGCAGAAGCCTGAGAGGGGCAGGCTAGCAGGACACCTCCCTCACTGGGCAAGAGCAGTGGAGACCTCGAGGGGACATCTTCCAGCCCTTGATTGTTAAAGGACTCCTGGCTGGAGCCTGTGCGTTGAAACCTGGTGCTCCCCTAAGGTTGGCTGTTGGTAGGACAGCAGGGGTAGAGCTGGAGAGGAAGTGCTGCCCTCGCAGGAAGTATAGGCCGCTGGCAGGTGAGAGCAGGCACAGCTGACCACCATATGTATAGGTGGGAGGGACATCTTTCGCTGCAGGAGATCTCGGGGGCACCCAAGGGCAGTCCCATTGCAGCTTGCGTTTACTTCGTCTGGTTTCCCATGCCATCACCTGCTGTCCGCATAGGGTTACACGGGAAAACAGCAGGAGAGCTCTAGGCCCTTGTCAGGGATCAGGTGCAGAGCGAGCTGCTGCAAATTTAATGAACTGGTGGCTAATTGCTGCCTCTGGGGGCCCAGCTTCCTGCCCTGCTCCAGCTACTGCCTGGACTTGCTTCCTGCCTGGCAGCCAGCTTCCTGGAACTGCCTGTCAGGCACATGGAGTTCTTGGTGAAGCCAGGCCTGGGCTGTGGGTAGAGGAAGGGGGTGAGCATGCATTCCACACTGTGGGATGCAGTTAGAGCAGTGAGCAAGGCTCTGCATTTGGGGCATCAGGGTGGCCGCTTTCAGGATCCCCTCCCTGTCTTGGGTCCTTGGTCCTCGGGGTGGGTGGGCTGGACCGTGGGACTCTCTGGTGTGCAGGAGAGAAAACAGGACTGGAAAGGTGAAAAGGACATAGCCACAGTCACTGGACCGATGTGTTAGTCAGAGCTGGAATTGTGACCCAGGCCCACCTGGTCCCGATTTCTGTGCTGAGAGACAGCCCTGTCCCGACCAAAACCCAAGTCACATTGTCCGAGTCAGAGGATTTCTTGAGTGGCCACCCTTGAGAATGGTGCCCCTGCCCTGGCCTGAGCCCCTGAGAGATGTTCGTCCCAAGCACCTTGTGAGGTGGGTATTAGGACAGCTGGTGTTGGATGGCAGGCCCCTCCAAGCCTGGAGCAGAGAGGTGGGGGGGTACCCTCTCGGCCTCACGGAGCCCCGAGAGTGAGCCAGCTTGGAGCTCCAGCCGCACCCTTGCTGTGGGGTCTGGGTCAGCTGCTCCACTGTCTGAGCCCGCGTCCTCCCTGGCGACACTCCCTTGATGGCCTTGCTGGCCTCCGAGGGCAGAGGGGAGGCTGCTAGGCGCCGTGAAAAGACCCAGGTGCCGGGGTGGGGAGGACTCCTGATTTCGCAGGCTGTGTCCCCAGCTGGCCTTCCGAACAGGCTCCGTCCCTCCCTCCCTGCTGATTCTGCCCATGTCTCTTGCTTTCAAGCTTGCGCTGTCTCTGGCCTCTTCAACTGCATCACCATCCACCCTCTGAACATCGCAGCGGGCGTGTGGATGATGTGAGTAGCCTTGGGACGGACGGTTGTCCTAACCCTCGCTAGGGCTGGGGCAGGGGAACGCCCACTCTGGACTTTGTTGGCTGTAGGCCTGGGGCCACAGCCATTTCCTGGGAGTCAGCTGAGTCAGGCTTTGCCAACACCAAGGTCACTATCATGGGCCTGGCCTCTCCTGGGGCCATCGTGGTGGCAGAGGACTGGGCTGGAGGGACAGCGTCTGACGGAGTTGCAGTCAGGTGCTGGGATCAGGAGACCCGGCTCGGAGGTGGGCAAGCACTGCCGGCCACAGACAGGGCAGATCAGAGATGGCGCAGGATTCAGGGGTTGGGGTGCCCGAGGTGAGTTCCCTGCCACCTCCTGCCAGGGTGGCTCAACCCCATTGGAAGGAGACACACGAACGCATGGACTGCGCAGAGGGGCTCGCTGAGTCTCCTCCTCCAGCAAGGGCTTCCTGAGGGCGGGAATGGGTCAGCCGTAAGCCGCTGTTTGTGAATGGGGTGCCCTGCTGCGGCCCATCCTCGGGGTGACACTTTCCCTGCGCCGATGGCGGCGGCGGTGGTGATGGCAGCAGTGCCGTCCTTGTGCTCGGAGCGCCCCATGTCGGGGAGCTCGCCGCAGGCTCACAGCGAGGCCAGGATGCGGGGGGCGGAGGGGAGGCGCGGAGGCTTCCCTCAAGGAGCGCTGGTGTGTGGGGAGCGGCCCCGGGTGGGGACACGTTGAGCTGGTTTGTCGAGCAGAGGCTCTGAGGGGGAGAGGTGGGCACCCGGGGTGAGGGGGTTGGCATCCTGGGACCCTGGCGCTGGGAACCGCCTGGCCCCCGCTGGTCAGCCGCCCCCTCTCCCCCTGGCCCTCCAGCATGAACGCCTTCATCCTGCTGCTCTGCGAGGCGCCCTTCTGCTGCCAGTTCATTGAGTTCGCGAACGTGGTGGCGGGGAAGGCGGACCGGCTGCGCTCCTGGCAGAAGGCTGCTTTCTACTGCGGGTGAGGCCGAGGGGCTGCCGGCGGGAGGGCGGGGCGGCAGGGGCTCTAACCCTGGAGGGCCCCCGACGCGGTCCCCAAACCCTGCTTCCACAGGTGATGGTGCAGGCTGGGCTGAGGGCACAGGGCACACGTTTGCTCTCGGTAGTGGTTTAGACGGGTCGGCCTCCGTGCCTTCATGTGGGAGGCCAACTGCACGTGTGCCTCTGCATCCCGGCTTCTGCCCCGGCCTACTGCTCCGCCCCCTGAGGGCCAGGTGTGAGATACACGCGCCTCCCATGTTCCGTGTAGCAGAGACAGCGGGAAAGCCTGGGATTCTGGCCCATCAGTTCAGAGTCCTTGAGCAGATTCCGGCAGATTCGTGTGTTTCTGTGCAGCCTTTTGAGAGTGTGGAGGGTCCTGAGGTCCTGACCCAAGGAGGAGAGCCAGCTGCAGGGCAGAAAGCAGTGCCTTCCAGATACGCTTTCCTCTTACTCCTACTTCTAACACTAAGTTCAGTGTGTAGTTCTTCCCATCTGAGTCACAAGATCGAACTAATTCAGGGTGTGTTCGATACATGGAAGCTTCTAGAACCGTGCCCGGTGTCTTGGAGCCCCTCGGTGGGTTCTGGCAGCAGCAGCAATAGTTATCATTGTCTAGATCACCTTGAGAAATAAATAAGGAGGCTTTACTACCCAAGCTTCTTCCCTTCCTGGAGGCGCAGTTGTTTTGACAGGCTGAGCACAAGGTGTGTGTGCAGCCCTGGGGCCGTCCGCTCCCTCCGTGGCCCGTCACAGGGACACGGGGTCCCGCGCATCCACACGTCCTTTGCCGTGAGCTCTATTGTTTGAGATGTGTTTTCAAATACTCACAGTAATATATGTTCATTAAACATAATGTGGAAAATAGACAGTTGTCACCCAGAGCCCCACCCCCTGTTAACACTTGGATATGTGTTCTTTCAGTCTGGCTTCAGGCATTTTAAAAAACCTGTTTCTTACACAGTTACAACCGTTATAAGTAAATTTGTATCCGGTTTTTCTCACTTACTAGCACATTAGAGACGGTTTCAAAGACTTCAGCAGGTGATCTGTAATGATGGTAACATGTGCTGACCCGGATGCAGCAGCTTTTCTCATTTGTAACCTGTAGTGTAAAGCAGGCTGTGACGAACGTCTGTCAGCTAAAAATGTCAGTGTCGACGTGATCTCCTCGGGCTGCTTTTCCAGGTGTGGCATTATTAGGTCAGAGATTACAACGCTTAAAAGATTCCAGCACATGGCTAAATTGCTTTCCAGAGAGGCTACCTGAGTTTCTCCCCCCTCTCCTCAGGACCGGGGCCATGACCATTGTCACATTTGTACCTGTTCTCTAAGAGCTGAAGTCTTTCCCTTGTTTTTTTTTTTTTTTTTTTACTAATTACATTTTCTTTTTTGGTAGTAGTCTAGCTTAGTTTTCACCTATTGATGTCATCATGTTTTACTTCATTATGTGTTTTCTATATTAGAGATTCCTTAATCCTTTGTTATATTTCCGGCAAATATTTTTCCAGCCTGTTGTTTGCCTTTGATTTTCTTCTGACAGAAGATTTTTCTTCTGTGGGCTTTTTTTTCTTTGCAATTTCTATTATTCTTTTATTACTTAGAAAATTTATAACTACAGTAAAACCTGACGATCACACGTCCTGCCAGAATGGAAATCCAGGGAGGACGCAGTTGGTGGAGTCTGAGAAGAGTCCGAGTCTGAGGAGAGGCTGCAGTCTTGTCTTTGTGTGTTACCGGGAGCCGCGGCCCCGGGTGTGGACACCCAGCCGAGACCAGCAGTCAGCCCCACAGGCCCCTGAGTCAGAGCAGACACCTGCCTCCAGGTGGCGCCAAACAGTGGCTGGGCCCGCCGGGCGTCGCGGGGGGGCTGCCTCCCCGGCCAGCTTGTTCTTGGCGTGGACCTTGCAATAAGGAAGCCCGTGTCTTGTGCAGTTTAACCTTCGGGACCTTTCTTGTTGGGATATGGCTGGTTTTACGGTGCTGATAAGAGCCAGCGTTTGGTGCTTCTGCCGTTCCAGGCATTGTGTTACGCCTTACCTCGTTCAGCCTCCGAACCTGAGGTTTAATCCCCACCTTGTAGCCGAGACTGCGCCTCAGAGAAGTTAAGTAACTTGCCCACAGCCACAAAGCCAGTAAGGGGCCACACTGACACTAGACTTTCTGGTCTGCCTGTTTTTATGAACATTGAAGGGCCGCACCATCTCAGTGCTGTTTAACCCTTTTTGGATCACAGACCCTTTCAAAATCTGATCGAAGTTTTGGGTTCTCCTCCCAGAAAAAAGCACAAGTTTGCGTGTGTTTGAGGACTTCTTGAAGCCCGGCTGTGAGCCTGGGTCCCGGCTGACTTCTGGGGGCCCTTCCTGCACCCGGCTGTCTGGGACGGCCGGGTGAACCTGGGAGGCTGGATGCTGTGGTGGCCACAGGTGGGCATGCCCTTGACCTCTGCTTCTCCCCTAGGATGGCCGTGGTCCCCATCGTCATCAGCCTGACGCTGACCACCCTGCTGGGCAACGCCATCGCCTTCGCCACCGGAGCGCTGTACGGGCTCTCTGCGCTGGGCACAAAGTGCGTCTGCCGGGGAGCTGGGCTTCCGCCTCCTGCAGGCTCTCCGGGCGGGAGGTCTGGGAGTGGCCCCTGTTCCCCCGTTGTGGGAACCAAGGCACAGAGGCTGTCGGTGATTCGTCAGTGTCTCCAGGGTGTCCAGGCTCTAGGGAGCGAGAGTAGGGGATTCCTCGGACTCTGGGGGCCCAGGTGTGTCTCCTCACGGCCAGTAGCAGGGACGCGTGGCTCCCGAGAGCCTCCCCCCAGCCGCGCCCACACCTGGCTCTGTGGCTAGTTGCTGCCCCTCTCGCAGAGCCCAGACTGAGGATCTGAATCCTTCCCAGGTCAACATCCCAGGCATCCTGGGCCACTCTTGGAGGTGACGAGACATGTCTTTGCCATCCTTGCAATAAGGGCTCTGTCTGGGGAAACCAGAAGGCCCGTTAGGCTCTATCTGCAGGTCACATCTGGGTCACAGATCACAGGTCAAGTGGAGGCTGGGAGGGCCATGTGCTTGGCGTCTGTCCCCCGTATGATGCTGATTCGCCCTCTCCCCAGGGGCGATGCGATCTCCTACGCCAGGATCCAGCAGCAGAAGCAGCAGGCGGATGAGGAGAAGCTCACGGACACACTGGAGGGGGAGCTGTGATGTGGGTTGAGGGCGACCCTCCGGAGATCCCTGCTTGCCCCTCTGGTCTGTGTGAGCACATCCCTGAGCGGCACTGACCCTGAGGACAGCCTGGAAGAGGAGCTGGTGCCTGGCGCCCATTGGTCCCTCTCACCTGTCCCTGTGCCTGGAGTCCTCTGCCTGCCCCTCCCCGGATTGGCATCTTCTGGCCCCGAGCCGGGTGCTGAGGGCCTGCGGTGAGGGCTCTGGGGGCCGTGGCCAGCAGCAAGGCGATGGGCAGTGGTGGCAGGCCGCAGGACTTGAGGCAGAGTGCAGCCTGCACAGCTCTGCACAGACAGCCTACCTGACCCCACTCTTCGCAGCCGGCCTGGCTTGGCCGGAAGCAGACTTACACTGCTGGTGGGACCACTGGAGACCTGCCGAATCCCTGAGGGGAACTGCTGCTGGAGACACTGGCCCATCTCGTGGTAGGAGGCACGTCAGCTCCAGGCCTGGGCATCGGCCAGTACGAGCCTCCTCTCAGATCTCTGGGTAGGAGAGCGTCTTATAAGCTGAGCCACTTGGGCCACCTCTGTCCTCCTGTCTTGGGGGGGGCAGTGTCCTGCCCCCTCGGCCTCCTGCCACGTCCCAGGGTCCCTGCCGCTCTGTTCTCTGTGCCCGAGAGCAGCCTTGGCAGCGACAGGACAGCTGGCTGAGCCTGCCCTCTCCCTGTTTCCAGAAGCCTCAGACCAGCACAGAGCCAGGACACTCCCCATGGGCCTGGCTGGCCCCCAGGTTCTTTGAACGCTCCCCCCCCCGCCCCCGCCCTGGTGCTAAGGAAGTGGCAGGGGGCAGGCTCTCCTAGCTGCGGTGGTGGTGGTGGGGGGCTGCCTGGCCACTTCTCTGGTATGGGCCCCGCCTCATCCCCGCCCTGCCCTTGGGGAGCTTCCTGCCTTCTGAGAGCTGGGTCAGGCTAGCGCTGCCCTCCACCCCCACCCACCAGCTGTCCCCGCCCTGTCAGGCCACCAGGGCCGTTGTAGAAGCAGCCCTGCCTGGGACACGTGCTGCTGTCTCCCCAGCCTCCCTCCTTGCACCGTCCCCTCCATCCGCCTCAGCCCACTGACCGCTCTGCTGGACTGGGCTTCAGCCCTGGGCAGGTCTGATGGGCTGGCCAGCCGGGGAGCACAGGTGGAAGCGGGTGGGTGTGGACATGCCCGCCTGGGGCTCAGCTCCTGCTGCTCCTCCAAGTCCCCGGGCTGGGCCTGCTCCGAGCGCCCAGAGCTCAGGGCCGCTCTTGCTCAGTGGAGCCAGCCCCAGGCCTGCACCCCAGCCTCTGCTTCCCCTCTGGGGTTTGTTAGTGTTGGAGGCGGGGAGGGGAGGTCCTGCCTGTCCTGGGGACACGTCACTGGGCTTCTGGCCCACAGCGTCCCCCCAGCAGCTCCCCAGGAAGCCTGACCAGGCTGAGCCCCAGGGTGGCTGGTCGGTGCTTCAGTGCGGCCAGCGTGTGGGACACGTGCCTTCAGGGGTCCTCTGGGGCCACTTTCCTCAGGCCATTGCTGGGCTCAAAGGGCTAAAGGCTGGAGGCCTCTCAAAACCTGCAGAGGGGCTGTGTGTGTGTGTGTGTGTGTGTGTGTGTGTGTCTTCTCCTGCGTGTGCAGCGAATAAGACCTGTCTACCTCCTGCCCCTCTTGGCTCACTCTTACCCAGGAAGTAAGACTTGGGGGTCTCTCCTGCTCCTGCCCCCGGGGCCTTGCTGACGGGATCTCCTTGCTGCGGGAGAAGGGCTGGCTGTGTGTCGGGGAAGGTTGCCCCTCTGCCCTGGGAGGGAGTTGGGTGGGCGTTGGGCAGGCCCTCAGCCCCTTGGTCACAGGCCAGAGCAGGAAGGTCACTTGAGGTTCGCAGTGTGTGCAGCCAAGCAGTCCCGGTGCCGGTGGTCCAGTCTCCCAGCGTGAGGGCCCGCCTCGCAAGGCGGTGGAGGGGTGGGGCTGCCAGGACCCACTGCCGCCTCTGCTCTGGGCTGTCTTCTGCGGGTCCTTGTTCCCTCTCAGTGCTCAGCCTGCTTTCTGCACAGTAAAGCCTGCTTGTTGTGTGCTCGCTTGCGCTCTGCCCGTTTCCTCCTCCCTGCGCCGTGAGTATGTGGTAGGGATGCCCCAGCCCCACCCCGGCTGAGTGGGGGCCACTGGCCCTGGGAGGAACTGCCATTTTATCAAGTACCTGCTCTGCTGCTGGCCCTGCGCCCGCCTGCTCACAGCATCTCAGCCCGAGCTCACAGGCAGAGCGTTGTGGGCAGGGCCAACCCCAGGGCTCTCCCCCACGGCTGCCTCGCCCCTTCCTTGTCTCTGCCTTGCTGGGACAGGTTGGGGTGGCCATGGAAGGGGCCCTACCTGGTGCCATGGGCCCTGGTGAACCTGGGCGGAGAATGTGGGTCCAGACCCCACCTGGAGTAAACCCCACTTCTTCCTCTTCTGGGCTGTGGCCTGATTTATTTCTGTAAACTGGGTGAGCGTGCTTTTGCACTTGAGTACCCCTCTTCCTAGAAGTTGGGTGGGTGCAGAAGGAAGCGTCTGTGCTGGATCTGGCAGTCCAGAATGCTCCCTGTGGTGTCCACAAGCCCGCAGAGGTGCACTTCTGTCTTCCTCCCCAGAGCCAAGATGCTGATGGTCACCAAGTGATGAGAATAGGGTGAGGTGCCGATGACCTGCGCGGGGCCACACCACCAGCTCCAGCCCTGTCTCTGTCCTCAGCACAGCTCTCTGTGTGTGAGTGAGGAGCCAGGCCTCAGGTTGCCCAGCTGGGCTTTGTCCCTGGACCCGGGCCACGTGGCTGCCTCCTTTGCCAGCGGGTCTCAGCCGATGCGGGTGCGACAGCGCAGGCTGCCTGAGCCAAGGCCGAGGCTGCACGGTGTGCCGCCTGCCCAGAGCCAGAACATGTGCTGGGGGCCACCCCGCTTCTGGCCGGTCCTCCTGTGCTCTGGCCGAGGGCGAGTTGCTGCTGCCTCCTGGACATGAGGTGTAGGACTGCGGCCAGTGCACAGCTCCGGCCGCCCAGTGGTTTGGCCTCTCGGGCGGGGACCCTGCCCTAGCGCAGAAAGGACCTCCTCCCGGTGCGGAAGAAGGACTCGATCTGCTCCAGTGACCGGCCCTTGGTCTCAGGCACACAGCAGCCAGTGAACGCCAGGTTCACCAAGCAGATGGCGGCGAAGAAGAAGAAAGGCACCTGGAGGCCGAAGGCATTCTGGGGATAAAGAGGGGGTGCCGGGTCACGCGGGAACCCAGGGTCCTCCCGCCCAGCACGAGCTTCATGGCCCCTGCTAGAGTTAGCCAGCCTGGAGCTGGGCACTTCACCCGCTCTTTCCCCTGCTCAGACCCGGGGCTCCCCACCGCCTCCAGCAGGAAACCAGAGGCTTCAGCGTGGCACGCCAGGCCCTCAGAGGCTGCGCACAGCCTTCCTCTCAGCCGGAGCCACCCTGGCCCGGGCCCTTGCCTCTCTCCCCCGTCCCGGCGCCCGTAGTTCGTTCTCAGCCCGTAGTTCATTCCACGGCCCGCACACGGGAGGCCTGCCACTGTAGCCTGGCTGGGAGTGCGCGCTCATCGCCCTCCCACCCACCTGCACTCTGCCTCCCAGCTGGCTTACCCGCTCTGGGTGCCCCCACCCCGCCCTGCCCCACTGGCCGCACCTGATGCCCTGGCTGTCCCATCAGATTCTCCCACGTGGGAGTTGGGAACTGGGACTCGGAGGGTCTGGTTGACTCCAGGGCCTGAGGGGGGTCTGAAAGAGGAGGCTGTGTGAAGCCAGGTGGGAGCCGTGTGTGTGCAGTCTGCCCACACAGACAGAAGGCCCGGCTGCCCGGGCAAGGGTGACAGGCGGGGCGGGCAGGCGTGGCCCTCGGGGCTCTGGTCCGACGCTGGCTGGGGAGGTCAGCCACCTGACTGCTCCTGACAGTTCCCTGTCTGTCTGCTGTGCTGAAAGGGCCTTTGCTGCTCTGTGTCTCCACGGCCCGTGGCCTCAGTTTGGAGAGTGTGTGCTGAGGCTTAGGGGACATGATGGAGACGTCCTCAGTGCAGCCCCTGGCACCGGCCAGAGAGGGCCTGGGGCCCAGCACTCACCACCACCAGCAGGAAGGACTTGGTGAGGGCGAAGGCGGTGAGCCAGCTGACCAGCACACACAGCCCCGAGGCCACACCGCGGGCCCGCAGGGGCAGGATCTCCGACATGAGGAGCCAGGTGATGGGCCCCCAGCCCATGGCGTAGCCTGCGGGAGATGGGGACGGGCGGGCTCAGCCCCGCAGGGTGCGAGGGGAAGCCTCTCTGTCCCCACACCTCACACACAGGACGCCCCCGGCCCCGGCCCTCGTGGAGCCCCTGCCACACTTACCCATGATGAAGAGCATGGTGGCCAGCAGGGGCACCAGGGTGAGGAGGCTGGCGGGCGTGGCTGGGGGCTGTTCTGTGCCCCACAGGGGCGCACTCTCTAGGCCCACAGTGCTGTTGGGGGTCAGAGGTTTCGGACCAAAGTGGACGTACAGCCCCAGCGTCAGGTTGGCAGCGAACATGCTGGCTGCTGTGGACAGACAGGTGGCCCACGGCGGGGCCAGGACCCTCAGCGCCCTGTGCCCCATGCGGCCCAGTCCCCGTTAGGCCGCCTTCGTGGCCGCCTGTGACTGGTGGCTCCTGCCTGCTGCGTGTGGGCTCCTGTCACACCCAGTGTGTGTGTTGCTGTCGGCCTGTTTGTTCACATGAGCCTGGGCCTTTCTGGAGCAGCTGGTGCGTTGGGCCCTGCGAGTTGGGGGAGACCCAGGCCCCTCGGAGCTCCCACCGTGAGGGCTGGCACAACGTTCAGCAGCGGCTGAAGGAGCAAATGAGTTAAGTGTGGGTGGGGGCCCATGCTCACCTGAGATGAAGAGCAGGACCTTGCGGCCGGCCAGGTCCATGGTGAGGGCGGCGATCAGTACGGACAGGAGCCTCACCGCCCCCACGATGGCTGCATCATCCTTGGGGGGCTGCAGGGAGGAAGTCGCTGGGGCTGAGGGGCCCCAGCCTGCTGCTTCTCCATCCCCCCCTTCCCAGTTCAGGGCCCTAGGCTTGGCTGCTTGGTGCCAGGGGCTTTCTCTGGTCGCCCAGCCAAGCCCGTGGGGCCTCCTGGGCAAGGCCGTGAGTGCTGTTCCCACTGCACGGAATCCAGGCAGGACGCTGGCTGTGGAACTGCACTGTCAGTAATCAAATCTCATCTCCCTCTGAGCCTGGGACGCGGGGCTCACTGTTATCTCCATTTCACAGAGGAGGAAGCTGAGGTTTGGCGGGGAAGTGACTTCCCTCCGTGAGTGGCAGGTGCTCTGAACTTGGGATCTGTGGTGCCCTGGGTCTACAGTTCTGCAAAACTGGTTTCCCCTGTAATTCTGCGTTTTTATTTTAAACATTACTCTGAGAACTGGTGCGTGGCACAGAAACAGTTAAGAGACTCTGACGTCTCCACCCGCACAGGCACCTGGCCCTGGCACAGAGCAGGCGCGCAGCAAGCACAAGCAGTGGCCGCACCGGGCGCTGGGGGCAGAGTGGTGTGGTGGGGGCTGGGCTCTCACCAGCAGGACGGCAGTGCTGTCGAAGATGGACTGCAGGTAGACGAGGATGGGCGTGATGCCTGTCAGCTGCTGCAGGAAGCGCATCAGCAAGGCAATGGCGATGGGCCGGTACATGTGGGGGTCCCGGGCCTCGGCCCACGATATGCGGCTGCTCTGGAGACACCAGGCTGCTGCTGAGGGGGCTGTGCTGCCCCTCCCGCTGCCGCCACCCCACCTGGGGCTGCATGGGGCTGGGTAGGAGGTGCCCTTCTTCCCTCCTCCAGGAAATACCCCGTGCACGGAGGCAACCCTGGCTCTGCGGACAGGCCCAGGGACCCCTGTGTGGACCCAGGCTCTTGGATGAGTGGGTGAGCCAAGGCAGACTCCTGCTTGTCAGTGCTGCTGGGTCCCCAGGCATCCGCTGCACAGCGCCTGTGCCCTGGGCCAGAGGCCCCGGCATCCCGCCGCCCCCACCCCCATTCCTGGAGGGAGACCTGTTGTTTGTCCTCATTTTCCATGAAAAGCAACTGAGGCTCGTAAGGCCGAGTGACTGGCCACAGCCCCATAGAGCTGTGGGCACCCGCCCCTTCACACCTGTCTCCGAACGTTGTCCTGGATCTGCCCAAACTCCCAGCGGATGTCGACGTCAGCTCCTCGAAGCCAGGCCAGCGCCTGTAGCGCCTCCGAGTCCCTGCCCCGCGAGAGCAGGAAGCGAGGTGAGTTGGGCATGAAGCTGAGCAGCAGGACCATGATGAGCACAGGCACCTCCCCAGCCACCGCCAGCCAGCGCCACGGCAGCAACAGGCCTGGGGGTGAGGGTAGGGGTGAGGAGCTGGCTCTGGGCTGGGCACAGAGCCCCCTCCCGCGGGGGCCTTGGAGCGGCCTCATCTGCCCTCAAGGGTAAGTCCCAGGGCCACCTCCTACAGGAAGCCTACCCTGACTGCTCCAGGCCTCTGTGATTTTACTCAAGAGGGGCCCCAGGGATCACCTGGCCCCTGGCACAAGGCCTGGGTCCTTGGAGGGTCTCAAGGCCCATGGCAGAGTAACAGAGGGGTAGCCTGAGCAGCAAGGCCCACCAAACCCCACCAACCCCCACCCCACCAAACCAGCTGCACTCTGATCACTTGTCAATATGGACTTCCCAGTTAAGACGATTTGACAGGAAACATTCTGCTGTTAAAAGACAGTTTAAAGACTGCCAGACCAAGAGAAGTCCTGACTGCCCAGTTAATAATGGGGACTTGTGACCAGAGAGGGGCAAGGAATTGCCCAGAGGCACACAACATGATAGTAGCCGAGTCTCTTGCCTGCCAGCCCCAGGTTCATTTGGGAGCACGTTCGTTCCCTTCCCCCACCCATTTCTGCTCAGCGGCACCTGCCCCCACCCAGCCTGCAATGGCAGGTGCTTAGTACTTGCCAAGGGCGTAGAGGGACAGTGATCCGAACACCGCCATGAGCTGGGGTGTGGCCCCCAGGGCCCCACGAACACCTGGGGGAGCAATCTCAGACACGTACACCTGCAAGACACACCCCCGCCCCCGCTGAGAACACAGCCGGGCTCTCGTCCTGTCTGCGACTTACAGCATGAGCTCCTGCGGGCCTCAGCCGCCCCAACTGTCAAGTGGGCGGGTGCGCTCAGCGCGGACCTGGGGACGTGGGGTGGGGAACTAGGAGGTCCAAGGCACCCACACTCTGGCCTCTGCTTCTCCCGGGGGTCTTCATCCCCTGCTGGACTTGCCTGGCCCCTGAGAGGGTGTGTGGAGGGGTGGGTGAGGGGAGGGGTCCCGGGGAGGGTGCAGGGCAGGAACTTCCCTTTCCTTCCCATTGTGTTGCTCAATGTGGACTTTCTCTGATTGGGCAATGGGTCTGTCAGGACTCAGGGCAGGAAGTCTGGGGGGTCCAGAGTAGGGACCGCTGATTTCCCCTAAATCAGCTGCCCGGGTGTGGGTGAGCTGAGGCTCCCTGGCAGACACATCCCCACTGACCGGGGCGCTCCGGGGCCAGGAAGCCTCAGCTGATGGAGGTCAGGACAAACCCCAAGGCAGCGGGGGGGCTGGGTGGGTAGTCCTGGCCTTACCGGGATGCAGGCAGCTGTGAGCCCCCCGGCAAAGCCTGTGAGCGTCCTCCCCAGGAGCAACATCCAGAGGCCATGGGCGCCCGCCATGAGAGCGTAGCCGGCTGCCGAGGGCACAGCCGAGAACATGATGCTGAGCTTCCGGCCCAGGAGGTCGTTGAGGACCATGGCACTGAGGCCCCCAGCCGCCGCGCCCAAGGTGAACACGGACTGCAGAGAAAGGGCACAGGGCAGATATGTCTGGGCACCCGGCTCCTCCTATGTCCCGTCAGAGCCTAGAGACAGCTGCTTTTCCAGGCTGTCCCAGGAGCTCGGGCCGCAGGACTCAGGCCCCAGATGGCAGTGAGCCTCCTGTCTCCAGCGGTGTGCAAGCAGCACGGGGACAACCATGTGTCAGGGATGCCACAACGGGAGTCCAGCCCTGGGGAGAAGGTGGGGCCATGTGTCTGATACTGTAATGTAGCAGACAGGAGAATTCTGTGATTTAGGGGCTGATTCCCTGTCCAGTGTAGCGAGTAGGAGCCAGTCAGTGACTTGGGCATGCTGCTCAGCCTGTCTGAGCCTCAGTTTCCTCAGCTGTCTTATGGGGAGAGCGGTAGCACCTACTTCATAGGGTTGGCCCTGGAGTCAGCCAGCTCTCATGTAAGGTGCCTCGCGCAGGCCTGGCCACACTAAGTGCTCGGTACACACTGGCTATTATTATGTTAGCTAATATGTTGTAATTATAAACTTGAGGCTACTAAGATTGCAGTTCTAGAATCTTGGGACTCTGAGGGCCATGCTCTCCTACCCACATGCCCACAATCTGTCCTGGAACCCTCCTTATCCCAGCAGTGCCCCTTTCCTTTGTACCTGATTCCCCTACCGCCCTCATCCAGGGAGGTGTCTGCTCTGCTGTGACAGCCCAGCTCTGGGTGTGGGGGGTCTGGGGAACCCTCAACCCCACCTGATGGAGACCTTTAGGACACTTCACCACCTGCTCCTTCCCGCCCTCTCCATCAGCTTTCACTTCCTCTTTTTATTTCAGGTCCATTATCTGGCCTCACTCCCCTCCCCCTCCAGTCTAGAGTAGGTGGGGGAGGGGCAGACCAGGGACCTGGAGGGGTCTCACAGCTGAGCTTTTGAGGGGTTCCTAGCTGGGGACAGAGCTCAGTGGGTCCCTGCTCCCCTGCTCTGCTCCTCTCAGAGGGGCTCAGAGCATTGCCCTTACCCCAAACCAGGATGCCTGGGTTTTGGTCAGACTCAGGTTTGGATCCAAGGAGTGCTCCAGGGCAGGGATGACGGGGGACGTGTAGACCAGGGCGTACCCGAAGCTGAAATTGCCCAGCACAGCAGCGAAGGTAGCCAGGAACAGCCTCTTGTTCTGCAGGGCCCTGGTGTGTGTGGGAGAGGCAGGTGCAGAGCCATCAGGGTCTTTGAATCCTGCCTCACCTAACTGCTGCCTGTCCTGATCACAGTGGTTGCCTGCTTAGAGGGTAGCGCTTGAAAGGTCTGGGTCAGTCAGATTGGCACCTCCCAGGCCTGAGCACCACCAGCTCCCTTGGGAAACCCCCAGGGCATGAGGGCTGTCGCCCCATAGCCCATCGTGGTGGCTGAGACACCGGTGGAGGAGTGCTATTCCCCAGAGGAGGAGGCTTAGTTTTTGCTTCCCGCTTTGCCATCTAAGGCTTGTTGCATGACCTTAGGCCAGTCCCTTGACCTCTCTGGGCCTCAGTCCCCCTGTCTCTGCCATTTGGGGCCTGGGCCTGCTAGTCAGGGGGACCAGATCCTTAAACAAGACGAGCTTGTCTGCGGCAGGAAGGGACCGTATGGACCCTTGGTGGAGACTTACTGAAGGTCAGCGGAGGCCCAGGATGGTAGCCAGCGGCCCGCTGGAGGGCACCAGCGCCATCCCTAGCCCCCACCCGCAGCCTCGATGCCAGAGACTCACCCGACTCCCGTCCTCTCCCTCGGCGACGGGGGCGTCCTTTCTGGGAAGGTGTCATAGTCCGGGCCCTCGGTTCCCAGCAGCGGCTCCTGCATGGCAAGCCTCTCTTGGCAGCGGCAGCTCCGGCCAGAGGCGCGTCGGGACGCAGCGGCTCTGAGCATCCGGCCGAGCCC